CTCTCTCTCTCTCTCTCTGCAGGTCTCTGTCGGTGTCTCTCCACCAGCAGCTCGCTCAGCAGCAGAAACATCTGTCGCAGTCAGAGGTCGACAGATGTCAGCTGATCACACACGTTCAAACCGTACAGGACGTCAAACAAACCCTGCAGGGTGAGAGAGGGGGGGAGGGAGAGAGGGAGGGAGAGAGGGAGGGAGGGAAGGAGGAGAGAGAGAGATACTGTGTGTGTGTGTGTGTGTGTGTGTGTGTGAGATCTAATAGGAGGAGAATAACTGTTTTTTCTTTTTAAAGGAGAGATGGCGTGTCTGAGAGAAGAGCTAGAGGAAATGACAGCCAGGAGAGAAAGGAGTGAGGAGGAGAGGGAGGTGCTGAAAGAGAAGATGGAGAGACTGACAGAGGAGGTGGAGGAGCTGAGGAGAACAAGGATGGAGGAGGAAGAGGAGAGAAAAAAGGAGAGAGCAGCCTGGCAAAGAGAAAGGGAGGCTCTGAATGAGGACTTGGGGATGAGGGATGGAGAGGTGGAAGCACTGAGGAGGCGCAAAGAGGGATTGACTGAGGAAAAGGAGGAGAGGCAGAGGGAGGTGGAGAGACTGACTGGGGAGTTGATGGAGAGGACTATGCAAATCAGCCAGATGATGGAGAGAATACAGCGAGCAGAGAGAGAGAGGGAGAACCTGGAGGAGGAGGTGAAGAAGACAGAGCTGAGTTTAAGAGAGGAGGAGGTGAGGAGGGAGGACAGGAGGAGAGAGGACGAGAGGCAGAAGGAGAGAGAGATTGAGGCACTCTGTGACCGGATGGAGAGATTAGAGAGGGAGAAGGAGGAGAGAGAGGGGGAGGGGGAGAGATGGAGGATGAGAGTGGAGGAAGTGGAGGAGGAGATCAGCACACTGAGAAAACGAGAGGAGGAAGAGAGGGGGACTGTTGAGCGACTGCTTGGCAGAGTGGAGGAGGTGAAGAGGGAGAGAGAGGAGGAGAGGAAAAAAAACGAGAGACTGAAAGAGGAGAAGGAGGAAGCTGTAGGAGGACTGTCGAAGAGGCTGAAGGAGAATGTGGGGGAGATGGAGCTTCTGAGGGTGAGGCTGAACGTGGCGAAGGAGGAGTATGAGGAGGTGAAGGAGGAGGTGCAGCGGAGGGAGCGCAGCCTGGAGCGACAGATGAACGCCGTGAGAGAGAGGGAGGAGGAAGTGGAGGAGCTGAAGGAGCGACTGAGGCTGTTGGAGGAGCAGGAGGAGGAGGGAGTGAGAGAGCAGGAGGAGGTGAAGGAGAAACTGAAGCTGATGCAGGAGAGAGAGGAGCAGCTGGAGATACTGCTGAGAGAAACCCAGGATCTCCTGGAAGAGGAGAGAAGAGAGGGAGGAGAAAAAGATGACAGGATCTCCCTCTTGGTTAGAGAGCTGCAGGAGGCTCAGGCCGAGTCCGATGGAGTGAAGAGAAGAGTAAGAGAGGACGAGGAGGTAAACGACAGGCTAGAGGAGGAGGTGAAGGAGTGGAGAGAGAAGGTCAAGCTGAGTACGACAGAGTCAACAAAGATCAGCAGTCTTCTAAAAGAACGAGAGGAGGAGGTGCAGCAGCTGAGAGAGGAGAGAGAGGAGGAGAGGAAAGAAAAGGAGGAGGAGAGGAGAGAGAGAGAGGAAAGGAGAAGGAGGATGGACATCAAGCTGATGGAGTTGGAGGAGGAGAAGAGGGGGCTGGAGGAGGAGCGAGAGCAAGAAAGGGAGGAGAAGAGGAGGCTGGAGGAGAAAGTGAAGGAGGTAAAGGAGGAGCAGGAGGAAGAGAGGGAAGAAAAGAGGAGGATGGAGAACAGACTGAGGGTGATGCAGGAGGAGAGAGAGGTCGAGGAGAAGGAGTTGTGGAGGGTGAAGGAGGAGAAGAGGAGACTTGAGGATAAACTGAAAGAGAGGTTGAAAGAAATGGAGTTACAGAGGGAGGTGCTGAGAAGTAAAGAAGAGGAGAAGAGGAAGCTAGAAGATGAAGTGAAGAAGACCAAAGAGGAGCAAGGAGAAAAGAGAGATCAGCACCTGCTGGTGGAGGAGCGAGGGAGGGCCAGAGTCAGAGAGCTAGAGGAGGAGAAGACAGGACTGATGGTGGAGCTGAGGAAGAGAGAGAGGGAGGTGACAGCACTGATGGAGGAGGTGAAAAGAGAACAAAGAGAGAAGAAGGATGCACAAGAGGAGGTCCAGAGGGAGCAAAGAAGGAGTGAGGAGACCCTTGATAAGTGGAGGCAGACGGAGGAAATAGAGGAGGAACTGAGAAGGAGTGAAAGGGAGGTGTCTTTACTTACAGAGGAGGTCCAAGAAGCACAGAGGGAAAAGAAGGGGGTGCAGAAGGAACTAATGAGGAGGAGAGAAGAGGTGACAGATCTCAGAGAGGAGTTGCAGAGGGAGAGAGATGGAGCACAGGAGGAGCTGAGGAGAAGGAGAGAGGAGGTAACTGGAGCACAAAGAGAGAAGGAGGAGTTAGAGGAAAAGCTGAAGAGGATGGAGGGGGAGATGATGGCTCTGAGGGAGGAGGTGCAGAGGGAACAAAGAAAGAATGAGGAAACCGAAGAGAAGCTGAGGCAGACGGAGGAAGTACAGGAGGAGCTGAGGAGGAGAGAGAGGCAGATGTTTGTACTAAGAGAGGAGGTACAAGCGGAAGAGAGGGAGAAGAAGGGGGTGCAGAAGGAGCTTATGAGGAGGATGGAGGAGATGACAGCTCTGAAGGAGGAGGTGAAAAGAGAACAAAGAAAGAAGGAGGAGACAGAGAAGAATCTGCGGAGGACAGATGAAGAGGTGATAACTCTCGGAGAGGAGGTGCACAGGGAGCGGAGGAGGAGGGAGGAGGTGCAGGAGGAGCTGAGAGGAGCTCAGCAGAGTGTAGAGGTGATGACGGAGAACCTGCGCTCCCTGCAGAGTCAGGTACAGTCCTGATGAAGAGGAGACATCGTCCTGAAGGAGGTGCTGCAGGAAAGCTTATGTCTCCTCTCTCTCTGCTTCAGGTGTGTGACCTGAATCGGAGCAAGGAGCGATCTGAGCAGGAAGTGAAGGAGAAGGAGCAGGAGAGGCAGCAGATGAAGGAGGGACTGAGGGAGGCGCTGGAGGAGATGACCAAACTCAAAGTGCTCCTGCAGGTACAGCGACTCCTGCTGGAGGATACAGCTCCTGCTACAACCTGTCCTTCACTTTGTCCCCATGTTCATTATGCTAAGCTAAGCTATCTGTTTCCAGTCTTAATGCTAAGCTAGCTATATGTCGTCCCACTTTGTGTCTGTCAGGAGAGCCACACAGAGGGAGAGCGACTGAGGACCGCTCTGAAGGACAAGAAAGAGGAGGTGGAGAACCTGAGGACGGTCAGAGAGGAGGTTGAGCGACAGAGGGAGGAGGTTGAGAAGGAAAGAGGACAGTTGGAGGAGCTGAGAGCAAGAACCAAGGCCCTGGAGAGGAGGAGGAGGGAGGTGATAGAGGGGCTGGAGGAAGCTCTTCATGCTAAGGAGAAGGCAGAGGAGTACAGGAGGGAGGCTGAGGAGTGTTGGAGGAGTAGATTGGAGGAGATGGAGGAGGAAAAGCGGGTGAAGCTGAGAGAAATCCAGACGGTGAAGGAGAGACATGAGGAGGTGGTGAAGGAGTGGACGGCCAGGAGGGAGGTGGAGGAGAGCAGGGCTGAGCTGAGACGGGTCAGAGCCACAGCGGCCATGTTGGAGGAGGAGAGAGATGGACAGGTGAGGAGGAGGACAGATGACAAGAAGAGAGGAGGTGATGTTGAACAGAAAACACTGTAGAGAGGAAACTGGTGTTTATTGACATGATGAATCTTTTCCTCAGGAGGAGGAGGAGCAGATCACGTCTCTGCTGCAGGAGAAGAAGGAGGTGAAGAGGCTGCTGAGGCTCCGAGAAACTGAGGTGAAGAAAAGAAAAGTTTAGTTGCTGCTGATGTTCAACGTCTCTGATCACATCTTAAAAAAAGTGTTATCAGCCTGGTCACAGGTTAACGATCACAACTGCACTGAAGCTGTTTCCTCACGTGTTCCTCACATGTTCCTGATGTGTTCCTGATGTGTTCCTCATGTATTCCTCACATGTTCCTCACATGTTCCTGATGTGTTCCTCACGTATTCCTCACATGTTCCT